GTTTTGATAAACTGATAGAGCACTGATTACAGTTTTTAAAAGTCCTTAAATTTCTGTGGATTTTACTGTTCCCAGCTTTTAGAGACAGGCTAGCACTGGAGAGAGTAGGGAAGCCTCCCTCCTCCTTCACTCACTCTACCACTTCCATTCAGTAAATTTCCTCTGGTTCTAAATTTAAAGATATGTTTCATTGGGCTGAAACCAGGCCCTAGAGAATGTTCATGCCTTTTAACCCAAAGCCATAGCTTTTGCTATGACACCAAGATGTAAATCTGTTCCAGTTGTTTTATAGACACAGGTCCCTGCACAGACCCACCCCTCTTGCCAGACTCATGCCAAGGCCAATCCACAGGGGGTCCTCCAGATACACTAGCCCCTGCACCAGCTCCGAGGATGCCAACCAGGTGAATACTGGCAGATTGATTTCACCCTCATCCCTGCTTATAAAAAGGCTCCATATCTCTTCACTCTTACTGACATGTTTATAGGATGGATACACTCCCACCTCTAGAGAAACAGCAGATGTGATAGCTCATGTGCTCCTGAAGAGCACATCATCCCTCAATTCACTGCTGGTACCACCTCTCCAGGCTTAAGCAGGTACCTACCTAGCAACTGGAACCCAGTTTTCCAAGATGTCCCAATGAAAGGCATATCTGCTCTTATGCCTCGCTCATTCACCCTTGCCTCTTCTGTATAACCAGGGCACTTCCTTGTTCATTCTTTTTGGCAGTTATCACTTTTCCCATGGCTGGCACTGATGGCCCATGATAACAATCTATTTTTCTCCTAGCAACCTGCCATCTCAGCTCCCTCAAGGAGCAAATGCCTGAGGATTCAATGATGACAGACAACTGAATGCTTCCTCACTCACACCTCCCGCCATGCATGACCCTGACTCCCAACTTCCCCTTCCCACTTTGCCCCTGTCAGCAGGAAACAGTCTTAAGAATTCAGTGCCCTTATTCCCTTTACTTGCTATCCATAACTCACCCAATTTTTTTAAAGATTTATTTATTTATTATGTATACAGTGTTCTGTTTGTATGTATGTCTGCACACCAGAAGAGGGCACCAGATCTCATTATAGATGGTTGTGAGCCACCATGTGGTTGCTGGGAATTGAACTCGGGACCTCTGGAAGAGCAGTCAGTGCTCTTAACCTCTGAGCCATCTCTCCAGCCCCTCACCTTTTTATAATAATAAAAAAGGAAGGAATGTTAGCATTCAGACCCACTTCTTGGAATTCTGGCCAACAAGCAGATAATACCCTGGCCTGCCCAGCATCCTGAGGTCATTCTACATTCCCTTTCCCTCTAAGAAAGGGTTCCTCCCCTTTCACTCTCTCTCTCTTGCCCCTCTAGCCATAAGGTAGCGTGCACCTCTCCCTCTTTCTCCCTATCTCTCTCTTTCCTGCTCCCCTCTCTCTTCCCCCCCACCAAATGAAACTCTCCACTGAGTGCTGTCTGCATGGCATCTCTGTCTCACCTGCCGTGGGGCACCTTGGCTCCACCTGCTAAGGCCTCTCTGTCACCATTTCACTACTGATTGGGGACCAAATGTTCAAATGCCCTATACTATAGAGGATATTTCTCAACCAAACCACCACATTCCACTTCCTGGTTCACATAGGCTCATGACCATATCATAATGCAAAATGTATTTAGTCCAACTTTAGAAGTCCACAAAGTCTTTCACAGTCATGACATTGATTAAAAGTCCAAATTCTAAAGTTTCTTCTGAGACTCAAAGAACTCTGAATTGTAACTCCCTGTAAAACAAAAAACTAGACAATATACTTCTAACATATGGCACAGAATATATACTTTTACCATTCCAAAAGGAAGGAATAAGGCATTGCTGTGGGATGTTCTATATGGCAAATGTGTTGCTGATTAGTCAATAAATAAAACACTGATTGGCCATTGGCTAGGCAGGAAGTATAGGCGGGACAAGGAGGAGAATAAAGCTGGGAAGTGGAAGGCTGAGTCAGAGACACTGCCAGCCGCCATGATGACAAACAGCATGTGAAGATGCTGGTAAGCCACGAGCCATGTGGCAAGGTATAGATTTATAGAAATAGATTAATTTAAGCTGTAAGAACAGTTAGCAAGAAGCCTGCCACAGCCAAACAGTTTGTAAGCAATATAAGTCTCTGTGTTTACTTGGTCGGGTCTGAGTGGCTGTGGGACTGGCAGGTGAGAGAGATTTGCCCTGACTATGGGCCAGGCAGGAAAACTCAAGCAACAAGGTATAGGAAATACTGGACCAAAGCAAGACCACAACCCATCAGGGCATACATCAAATTTTGTCACATCATGTCTAATGCCTGGGACTTTAATTTCAGATTCCTATGGCTTTGCCCTACCAGCTTTGCTGCCTGCAACAGACTTCTCTCTCTTGGATGGATCCCACTTCCTTTGTGCAGCTTTGCTTGGCAGATCTCATGGCCCTGGCATCTCTAACACCTTAGGTTCTCTACTGCAACCCAGACTTTACTTGTATAGCCTTATTCAATGGCCTCTTAGGGCCTCCTTCCCTCTCAGGGCCTTCACATAGGGACTTCCCTACTACACAGTGTCTACCAGCCTCAGTGACTCTCTGAAACCACAAAGAATCCATGACCCTTTCATGTTGGGAGCCATGTGGGGGGACCAACAGGCAGCATTGGAACTCATGGAACACAGATGGACCGTTGGCAAAGCCATGCCTGAGTGAGCCTTGGAGAGGCAAAGCCCCAAGAGTACGTGTAGCCAGAGGCTTTTCTTTGTCCTGCCCAGTCCCACAGCCACTTATAAAATAATTACTCAGAGGCTTATATTAATAGTTTGGTTGGTGACTCAGGCTTCTTATTAACTAGCACTTACAACTTAAATTAACCCATTTCTATTAGTCTATATATTGCCATGTGGCTGTTACTGGACTGCTGGCATCTTGCTCCTTGGGCAACTGGATCGTGTCTCCCTGGCTCTGCCCTTCTTCTCCTTTATCTCTGCTTGGATTTCCCACCTAGTTCTTATCCTGGCTTGCCATAGGCCAAAGCAGCTTTATTTATTAACCAATGGGAGCAACACATATTCACAGCATACAAAAAGACATCCCACAGCAACTACATGTCCTGGGGACCTCATGCTGTTACTGAGCATAGCTCTGATTGCTGCTTTCTCGGTCACCACATCTCTCATAATCTATGGGGTATATGAAAACTCTCAGAGGAATTTCTGGCCCCTCGATGGGCAGTGTCACTGGTACTTACAATAACAGTGATTGACTGTAGCTAGAGTTTTCCTGCCTGGCCCACAGTCAGGACAAATCTCTTTCACCTGCCAGTCCCACAGCCGCTCAGACCTGACCAAGTAAACACAGAGACTTATATTGGTTACAAACTGTATGGCCGTGGCAGGCTTCTTGCTAACTGTTCTTACAGCTTAAATTAATCTATTTCTATAAATCTATACCTTGCCACATGGCTCGTGGCTTACCGGCATCTTCACATGCTGTTTGTCATCATGGCGGCTGGCAGTGTCTCTGACTCAGCCTTCCACTTCCCAGCTTTATTCTCCTCCTTGTCCCGCCTATACTTCCTGCCTAGCCACTGGCCAATCAGTGTTTTATTTATTGACCAATCAGAGCAACACATTTGCCATACAGAACATCCCACAGCAATTGACTTTTTCCAAGCACTGCTGCTGAAGCAGATTAATGATTCAACCCCCACCCTTAGAAAGAATTTAGACATACAGAATTGTTAGTAAGGTTAGGTTAAGATGCTTTTGTTAATGACTTTGAGGTAGAAAATCTTAGAGAACAATTTAAAGTTTATAAAGACACACTCTTAACAGTTGAACAGTTCTTAAAGGAACTCATTGAGGTCAGGGAATAAAACAATGGCAGCCTGGCTATTGCTGGCTGATGTACCTTTCTTGCTATGATGGGTTGGTGATCAAAGGCAGTGATTAATTCCTTGTACCCACTTCTGCCCTCAGCTTCCTGATATAAAAAACTGTTGATGAGTGGTTATGCACCTGAGGATTTAAAATAGAGCTGACTAGTTGTTTTTCATATATAAAAGTTTATATTTGTGATTCCTTTAAGATTTTTTTTATAAGATCACCCTTTGAGACAAATAATAAAATAATTGATCCTTTCTTTGTAACTGCAAAATGCAGCCTGCTAACAAAATAACTGGCTGATAAAAATACCCTGCTTGCTTACACTCTGTTAATCTATAACAAGTTGCTTGGGCATGAATGTATGTGGGTTCTTGGGACAACTTGTTTTTCACCTGAAATACATAAAATGTTTAATCATGCAAGGGAGATGAAAAACATGTTTTGTTTTGTTTTGTTTTGTTTTTTTACTTGTATTCATTTTAATCATTCACTTAAAAACCAAAATGTAACCACATTGTAACTTTTATTTACTCGAAAGATTCTGCTGGGGTATATAAGCTGTAAGGGAAAAAATAAAGACAGGAGAGAAGGAGAACACCAGGTAAGATGTAGAAAGAAGACATCAGGAAGCAGCTAGAAGGAAGACATCAGGAGAGGCAGAAGGGAAACATCAGGGTAGAACAGAACAGAAAAAGAACAGTAGAACAAGCAACAGAAAGAATAATAGAATGAAGATCTAAGCTTTGGTCCTCAGAAAAGTCCTTGTGTCCGTTTGTCTGTCCAGTAGTTCGCCTGCTCTGCATTTCCTCTTCAGTTTCTCTGACCAGCTGAAGGCTTGGCATTCATCAGTACCCTAGGTGAGATTCTGACATGTGGGAGGCCGGTGTGTGTGTGTGTGTGTGTGTGTGTGTGTGTGTGTGTGTGTGTGTGTGTGTGTGTGTGTGCGTGTGTCCCTTTTTCACCAGCCCCAGAGAGTTAAGTTTTACTCCCTCAGATAGAAAAGTCAAGTTGAGTGGTTAGTTAGCTGACTGAGTGTATCACCCACTATCCCTGAGCTGCTGGAGGCTGGTCCTCATGGAAGCAATACTTTTACTCTTGTGTCTTTAAGGTGCAAGGAGATTTCAACATGTGCTCCTGTGATGAGAAGTTTTAAGTGTCATCTTACCATAACCTCGAACCATCTGAGAAGAGAGCTGCAATTGAGGAGTTGTGTAGATCATGCCTCTAAGTGTGCCTTGGGGGGTGGGGGTGGGGGTGGGGAGGATAGTCTTGATTGTTAATTGACTTGAGAAGATCCACTCTGAATATGGGCAGCACCATTTCTTGGACTGGATCCTGCACTGTGTAAGAGTAAAGAAAGCTAGCTGAGAGAAAAGCAAGCAGGCAGCATGGGTGCGTCAGTTAGTTTCTCTTACGGTCTTGATGTGTTTGTGCTTTGATTAGCTGCTGAGAGTTCCTTCCTTGACTGTCTCTCAGTAATGGACAGTGACTGAGAATTGTGAGATAAAACAAGTCCTTCCTCTCCAAAGTGACTTTTTGTCAGGGTGTTTTACTCCAGTAACAGAAACAGAACCAGGACAGCTGCTAAGGGTTTGAATGCAACAGAAGGCCTTTTCCCTAAAGCCCCAGTCAAACAGACAGCTACTTATCTTTCTGGGAGGAATGATTGGTTAAAATCTGGCAAAGGAGAATTTGTTCAACATGCTGAGACATCTGGCTTCCTTCCAAATTCCAGGGGTCTGTTCCACTGACTGCCTTCAGCGGCACTTTGATCTGATAACCTCATGCATCTGAGATCCTCCTTATTCTCCTATGCCTGTTCCTTTAGGACAGAAGTTGAGCATTTATAGGGTGAAAGCTCTGATACAGTCACACCTAACCCATTGCCTGCTGTGCTGTGTGAGAGAACTCAGTATCCAGCCTTGGGGGTGAATGGGGGTGAAATGTGTGAAAGTCTGCATACAAACAGACTTTCCTAAACAGCAGAGTGACAGTAGGCCCAAGGGAGATGAAGAGCTGCAGGGATTGAGGGTTCTACTCTAATGCCTCCCGCTGTTATTTCAGAACTCTTTTTATTTGGTTATTGTCACCCAAGCAGATATTCCTTGGTCTGTTTTGGTCTAATGGTAAATGAAATGACCCCCTAGTCTCTATTCTTATTGTACCTTGTCCTCTAGTTTGGATATGGCTAATAAAGCAAAATAAAACTAAGCAAAACAACATGTTTGTATAGATAAACATGTCTAAGTTCTCTGCCATGATTAAGAATTTCTGAGCATATACAACACAGAAACATCTGATTTACCATTTTCAATGCTAATATTTATTGACCTGAATAGAGTAACTCAAAGGACACACTAAATGACCCTTACCACCACTTACTGACCTCTGAGTGATCACACAGGAACTCAAAATCATTCATTTACTGGCCAGCCTGAGCTAGAGAGTAACATGCTGCCAAGAAAAACCAAAAAGTAAAATAAAAATAATTCATTTAACTGAGGACACAGAAATCAAGTTTAATGGGCTTTATCCATCAGATTTGTAGTCTATCTTTCCCCATCCCTAACTCATCCTCATCCTTACTTCATTCCTTCCCCATCTTAAACTGAAATAATATATCATTTTAATCACTTTTTTCCAAACTCTCTGAACTCCACTATGGCTATACCTACTTGGGAAAAACCTCCCTGTGATTAAATCCACTTTCTACTGGTTTTCGTAAGCCTCAGTGTCCCCAGGAAAGCAGACAGCTAAGTGAAGTGGGAAGTGTTTCTCTCCACATTCAGTCACTCACCTTTGAGTCTCCACACTTCTCATTGATCTTGCTCTCCTCTATCTTCTGACCCAGGCACTCTGTCATAGAGAAACGCTTCATGGTTTCTCTGTTTTCTCTTAAAATTCTCTTAAAACCTCTTTCATAAGCTCTTTCATCTTCTGAGAAGGTAGCAATCCAAAGTGAGACTCCACAGGGCTCACCCTGACCTGCCTCTGTCTAAGCACTTTGCTCCTAACACGCCATCCTTCAGCCCAGACCCTTTCTGCTACTCAAGGTTATACCAGCAAGTCTACCTTCCCTGTTTTGCATACTCTTTGGTTTGCTTTGTTTTGAGACAGGGTCTCTATGTATCTCTGGCTAACCTTGAACTTACAGTGATCCTCCTGCCTCTACCACCAGAGTTAGGGATTACATCATGTGCCACCATACCCAGCTGGCTTTTTTAGTTTTCTTCTACTCCTCCTAATCATCATCTGGAGTTGAGTGTGTGCATAGGTCAGGGAGGGGCAGAGGTGGGTGAAACACTTGTGAAACAAGGGTAGTGGACTACAGAACTTCCATTTTCCTACAAGTTTATTACAGACACCTAACCCTCCATTCACTATTAGTTACTGACTAAAATCCAAAATCCTACAAGCGAAGACAATAGAGGATTAAGAGCAGAGTTATTCTGATGACAGTCCTTGTCATTTCATACCCAGAATCTTAACCTTGAAGATACCCAGGAAGCTGAGGCCATTGCTCAGGTAGGAGTTTAAACAATTCTGTGCACTTCTCTGACAACCAAACACCTATTCACAGCTGCAAGACTTTTGCCTACAAAAGCTATGCCTCTGGACTGGAAACCATTGCTAGATGACTACAAAGACTCTCTTTTCCTCTAGCTCCTACCAACCAGAAGGAATTCACAATTTAAGGTTTTCTAAAGAAAATTAGATTTTGAGTGTTGTTTCCTGAATACTTTCTAGATAAATCAGTGGATCGCCTGAACAGTTATTTTCTCCAGAATGACAGCTCCTGTTGTTTTGCTTCTATTTTTTGTCTACATTTGGGTAGGATCTGTGTTTGGTGAAGGATGTATTTAAAACACCATGAAAAGCTGAGGACAATGTGTAGTCAGTACAAGAGCAGCCTCTATCCAAGACATGCAGGCTTGCAGTTACAGCAGCCACAGTCTGAGAGCTGCAGACCTGAGTTACTGCAGCCACTGAGAGCTGCAGACCTGAGTTACTGCAGCCACTGAGAGCTGCAGGCCTGAGTTACTGCAGCCACAGTCTGAGAGCTGCAGGCCTGAGTTACTGCAGCCACTGAGAGCTGCAGGCCTGAGTTACTGCAGCCACTGAGAGCTGCAGGCCTGAGTTACTGCAGCCACTGAGAGCTGTAGACCTGAGTTACTGCAGCCACTGAGAGCTGCAGACCTGAGTTACTGCAGCCACAGTCTGAGAGCTGCAGAGCTAAGTTACTGCAGCCACTGAGAGCTGCAGGCCTGAGTTACTGCAGCCACTGAGAGCTGCAGACCTGAGTTACTGCAGCCACTGAGAGCTGCAGGCCTGAGTTAACTGCAGCCACAGTCTGAGAGCTGCAGACCTGAGTTACTGCAGCCACTGAGAGCTGCAGGCCTGAGTTACTGCAGCCACTGAGAGCTGCAGACCTGAGTTACTGCAGCCACTGAGAGCTGTAGACCTGAGTTACTGCAGCCACTGAGAGCTGCAGGCCTGAGTTACTGCAACCACTGAGAGCTGCAGGCCTGAGTTACTGCAGCCACAGTCTGAGAGCTGCAGACCTGAGTTACTGCAGCCACTGAGAGCTGCAGGCCTGAGTTACTGCAGCCACTGAGAGCTGCAGGCCTAAGTTACTGCAGCCACTGAGAGCTGCAGGCCTGAGTTACTGCAGCCACTGTCACAGAGCTGCAGGCCTGAGTTACTGCAGCCACAGTCTGAGAGCTGCAGGCCTGAGTTACTCTGAAGCCACTGAGAGCTGCAGGCCTGAGTTACAGCATTCACACATACTCTGGATCTAGATTCTATAGCCACTTAACAAGGTGAATTTTCTAGAGCCACCCTAATTTCTACACAATGCCAAGAAAAATGAACAAGACCAAATATAAGAAGTTAGGAGCCGGGCGGTGGTGGCGCACGCCTTTAATCCCAGCACTCGGGAGGCAGAGCCAGGCGGATCTCTGTGAGTTCGAGGCCAGCCTGGGCTACCAAGTGAGTCCCAGGAAAGGCGCAAAGCTACACAGAGAAACCCTGTCTCGAAAAACCAAAAAAAAAAAAAAAAAAGAAGTTAGGAGGTGACAACTGAAATAAAGAAGAACCTCATTTCAAAGGCCATTTTAAACCCTCAGAGACACAGGACATAACTTATGAAATTTATATGCAAGATCCACTCTGTGTTAAAATGAAAAACATCAATACTCATGAGTTCTGAGACATGTTTATAAATGTTAGACTAAGGATTTTCAAGTTTCCTTTGTTCTAAAGCTTAGTTCAGATCCTAGTAGAATATATCAGAGTGACCTTGAGATGTAGAACAAGGAAGAAAGCATTTTCTCCCCTGATCATGTTTTCACCAACTCAGACATCTTGGGAAAATTTCAATTGATGTCTTTCCATGGTTCTTTCTCAAAGGATCCAAACTTTGGGCATCACCACCTACCCAGGAAGTTATCCCAGTGAAGGTCCATGGTGTGAGAAGCATGGGGGCCATGTCTTCATGTCAGCCTTTGCTCCTCTTTCTTGAGGGCCAACAATCCTGGTTCCTGGACTGTTGTATCCTTCCTTTCAGTCATGAAACGTCTTTGGAGCCCTTAATAAATACCACCAGACAACTTTTAGATTGAGAAGGAGAAAATGTAAGGCTTATTTGACAAGAGTATTAAGACTACATTGCTGTGAGATGGTCTGTATGTCAAATGTGTTGCTCTGATTGGTCAATAAATAAAACACTGATGGGCCAGTAGCCAGGCCGGAAGTATAGGTGGGACTAACAGAGAGGAGAATTGAGAGAACAGGAAGATGGAGGGAGACACTGCCAGCTGCCACCATGACAAGCAGCATGTGAAGATGCCGGTAAGCCACGAGCCACGTGGCAAGGTATAGATTTATAGAAATGGATTAATTTAAGATGTAAGAACTAGATAGCTAGAAGCCTGAGCCATTAGGCCAAATGGTTTAAATAATATGTGTCTGTGTGTTTATTTTATAAGTGGGCTGTTGGACTGCCGGGGCTTGGTGGGACCCAGAGAGAAAGCTCTCCAGCTACACTACATAAGAAAAAAACTGCATGAAAATGAGATAGCGTGTGGTCTAGGTTTGCTACTACCCAGTCGCCAAACCATGTCTGACAGGGCTGCATCTCAAGAGGGTACATTTTATCAAGTCCTAAGAACCCAGGAAGACAGGCAAAACTCACCCATGGTATTG